GGAGGTAAAGTCTCCATCTTTCTTTAAGGCTGCATAATATTCCATGGTGTACATATATCACAATTTATTGATCCATTTGTGGGTCGATGGGCTCTTGGGCTTCTTCCATGACCTAGCAATTAAACTGATGGCCTTTCAGCAGGAAACTAAAAGATAATAGAATGATATTTTCAAAGTACTGATTAAAAATAACTCTACCAATCTATACTTCTAAATTAACAAAACTATAATTTTGAAATACAAGGATCAAGTGAAGTCCTTTATTTAAGGCAAATGAAAGTGAAATACATCATCACTGCTAGTCCATTGCTATGAGAAATACTAGAGGGTATTTGTCACACAAAAGGAAAATGATTCTAGAAAGAAGATTACAGATGACATAAAAAATAGAAAGCAATAAAATTAGAATAATATAGGGATAATGGCAGACCAGAAAGTGCTAATGTCTTATTTCCACACAGAAATATAAAACAAAACAACAACAAAAACTGGGAAAGGTGGTTGTTTCTCTTTCTTTCTTTTTCTCTTTTTCTTTCTCATTTATTAGTTTGCTCTTGGCATTCAAGAAAAGAAGCTGTTTGACCAAACTCTCTTTCTCATTTATTTGTTTGTTCCTAGCATTCAAAAAAGAAGCTGTTTGACAAAACTTTGTAGGCATTCTGAAAACAGCCAAAGGGGACCAAGCAACACTCAATGAAGAAAAAATTATCTCCAAAAGAGTAGGAAAATTTTGTGGCATTTTACATATCTTTGTCCCACCCCCTCCCTGGTGTGGTAGCAACATCTTGGTTTTGGCCAGCAACAAAGCATCCCCTAGTTCCCCTCCTTGAAACTGAGAGAGCTGAACAGACTTTTTTGAAAATTATTGTCACAAAATGGCTGAGGTTACCTGAAAGACTGACTCAGTCATCTCTGTCTTGCACAACTCAGAAAACAGATGGGAATACTGGTGGGCACTGCTAGGAAAGGCTATAAAGGGAATGCAAACCCACAGATGCCTGAGGGTGGTGATATACAACAAAGCATCTAAAGTCCAGAGGAAAAATAGAGACAAGTGGAAAATCAGAACATTCAAAAACTGAATATATGGGAAAATTTAGAAACTTACACTCCCAGACAAGATGCATTCTCAGAAAAGTCTTGAGAAAACCTTAAGCTTTCATATGGAGCTTATCCTTATGCTCAGAGCAAATGCAGCTAATCTATGAAGAACCAATGATTAAAGACTGGGAAAGGTGGTCTTTTCTCTTTTTCTCTTTCTCTTTTTCTTTCTCATTTATTTTTTTTTGCTCCTGGAATTCAAGAAAATCTCAATCAAAATATTAGCTGAACATGAATTAAAAAACCCAGAAACTTAAATAAGTACATATGCAAAAAATAATCTTTCTAAAAATAGTTTCCAAACAGACTAGCAAAACCTTCAATAATTAAAACAAAAGCAGAAAAGTAGCAACCCTTGGGGAAAGGAAGAACATGATTTCCAGATTTACTACGTTATAATAATCAAGTGCTCAATTTTCAACAACAGCAAAATCACAGGTGTACAAAGATACAGGAAAACATGGCTCATTCAAAGGAATAAAATAAGTTAACTGAAGCCATCCCGAAGGAAGCCTAGACATCAAACTTACTAGAAAAAGACTTTGAAACAATCATCTTAAATATGTTCAAAGACCTAAGGGAAAACATGGACAAAGACCTAAAGTAAATCAAGAAAACAATATATGAACAAGATGAGAATATTAACAATGAAGTAGAAATTACAGAAAGGAACCAAATAGAAATTCTGGGGCTGAAAAGTACAATAACTGAAAAATTCACTACAGGAGTTAAAGAGCAGGCAGAAGAAATAAGTGAACTTGAATTTAGAACAATTGAAATTCTTGAGTGTGAGCAGTAGTAAGACAAAAGAACGAAGGAAAGTGAACAAAATCTAAGGCACTTGGTCAAGTGGACCAAGGAATGCATTATGGGCATCCTAGACATAGAAGAGAGAAAAGGGCAGAAAGATTACTTAAAGAAATACTGGCCCCCAAACTTCCCAAATATGATGAATGATAGCAACCTAAAAATCCAAGCATCTCAATGCAAATAAGATAAACACAAAGAGATCCCACCAAGATACATTATAATCAAAATTTCAAAGGTCAAAGATAAAAAGAGAATCCTGAAAGAAATAAGAAGTGACTCATGGCATACAAACCATCCTCAATAAGATCATCAGATGATTTCTTATCAGAAAGTTTGAAAGTCAGGAGACAATGGGACAACCTATTCAAAGTGTGAAAAGAAAATAGCTGTCAACCAAGAATGCTATATCTGGTAAAACTGTCCTTGAAAAATGAGAGCAAGATAAGACATTCCCAGATAAACATAAACTGGGGGGGGTGGGGGGGCTATGACCACTAGGTCTGATCTAAAGGAAATGCTCTAGGAAGTTCTTTAGGTTGATATGAAAAAATGCTTGGCAGTAACTCAAGCCATATATAAAGATATAAAAAGATCTCTAGTAAAGTAAATACGTAGAAAAATATAAAAGCCAGTAATATGATAATCTTGGTTTGTAACTCAAGTTTTTATTTTCTATAGGATTTAAAAGTTCAATGCATAAATATCATAAATCTATGTACATGGTATAAAGATACAATTTGTGATATCAATAACGTAACAGAGCTGAAAAGGGGTCGGGTTTTGTGTGGAATTGAAGTTAAGCTGGTATCACCTCAGAAGAGATTGTTATAATATTAGGATGTTATACGCAATCCCTATCATAACCACAAAGAAAGTATCTACAGAATATACACATAAGCACACAAGAAGGGACAAAAAAATCAACGAAACACAAAAGCAGTAACGGAGAAAATGGAAAACAAAAAAAGAAAGTGTAAGACATGTACCAAAAAAGTAACAAATGGCAAAAGTCAGTCCTTTCCTATTAGTAATTATTTTAAGTGTAAATGGATTAATCTACCCAATTTAAAAAAAGCATAGCGTGGCAGAATGAATTAAAAATAAAATTAGAATTCAATTATGCTTTCTGCAGGACACTCAACGTTAGATAAAGGCTAGACTATGAAATAGTATTAGCCAAAATAGACTTTAAGTCAAAAACAGTTACAAAGGACATCGTATAATGATAGTCAACTCACCAAAAAGATATAACAATTGTAAACAGATATGCATAAAACATCAGAACGCTAAACTACGAAAAGTAAACATTGATGGAATTGAAGAGAGAAATAGCTGTATAATGATAGCAGGAGGACTCAATACCCCACTTTCATTAATGAATAAAACGAAGATCAGCAGGGGAAGAAGATTTAAACATCACCAACTGGACTTAACAGACATATAAAGAATACTTCACCCAACGAATGCAGAGTCCATATTCCTCAAGCGCACGCAAAACGTTCTCCAGGGAGCGCGGAGCGGTTTGGTCGGTCGTTGGGGAAGCATCTTTCCTCTGCTCGGCGACTGCGGCTCTTCATTGGGCACCAGAAGCGGCTCGGTGCTTTGAGAAGTGGCCTAAAACTTCGGCCTTGGGCAAAAGAAAATGGCTCGAACCAAGCAGACGGCTCGTAAATCCACTGGTGGGAAAGCCCCCCGCCAACAGCTGGCCACCAAAGCTGCCCGGAAGAGCACTCCCTGTACCCGCGGGATGAAGAAGCCTCGTCGCTACAGGCCCGGCACCGTGGCGCTCAGACAGATTCGTCGTTATCAGAAATCCACCGAGCTGCTCATCGGGAAGCTGCCTTTCCAGAGGCTGGTGAGGGAGATCGCCCAGGATTTCAAAACCGACTTGAGGTTTCAGAGTGCAGCCATTGGTGCGCTGCAGGAGGCGAGTGAGGCGTACCTGGTGGGTCTGTTTGAAGATACCAACCTGTGTGCCATCCACGCGAAGAGGGTCACCATCATGCCCAGGGACATCCAGCTGGCTCGCCGGATACGGGGAGAGAGATCTTAAGTCAAGGCAGTTTTTATGGCGTTTTGTAGTAAATTCTGTAAAATACGTTGGTTTAATTTGTGACTTTTTTGGAAGAAATTGTTTATGATATGTTGCATTTGTACTTAAGTCATTCCATCTTTCACTCAGGATGAATGCGAAAAGTGACTGTTCACAGACCTCGGCGACGTGAGCCTTGCTGCTTGGGAGTGACAAGTTGCCAATAGGCAGAAGGGATGGGTGATATTTCTTGCTTCTCATGATGCATGTTTTTGTATGTTAATAATTTGTTGGTTAGCTATTAAGGTACTAGAATTGATAAATGTGTACAGGGCCCTTTTGCAATAAAACTGGTTATGACTTGACCCAAGTGTTTAACAATTGGGGCTGTTAAGTCTGACCATACATCGCTGTGATAGACTGGGCTTTTGCAAGGGTGAAGATACAAGCCTTAACCACAGTGTCACTTACAGTTGCCTTTTAAAAGAAAAAAAAAAGTAAACCTGGCAGCTGTAGAATACACTATGTGCATTTATTTTATATATTGTAATGTCAACGTTTTTAAATTACATGTTTTACATTCACAAAAAAAAAAGTTCTCCAGGATATATTGTATGTTAGGCCACAAAACAGGTCTCAATAAATTTTTAAAAATTGACATGATAGCTTTTTGTTTTCTCTTTCGAGCAGCACTGAGTGATGGGCATCTCTTGGGACAAGTGGCACAAGTGCCGGGAGACTGGGGGCAGGAGAAAGCCCTACTATGAGAAGCAGAAGTATGAGTGGGAACTCCCACCCCAACACTTGAGATTGGCCCTGGTGCATACACGCAGTCTGTGTTCAGGCAGGTACCAAGAAATGCCGTGCCCTGAGGCTGGATGGAGGAAACTTCTCCTGGAGCTCAGAGAGTTGTACTCACAAATCAAAGGTTTTGTCTACAGTGTGTCCAAAAACAACCTGGTCCGCACCGAGACCCCAGTGAAGAACGGCATCATGCTTAATGACATGATTACGAATCCCATTATGCACTGCCCTTGAGCCATCAGAAGGAGGCCAAGCTGACGCCTGTAGAAAAAGAGGTTTTAAACAAAAACATATCTAAAAACCTTCAGAAGAATTATGAGGAAAGTAAAGGAACACCAAGATCAGCAGTCTTTTGGAGGAGCAGTTCCAGCAGGACAAGCTTCTTGAACCCACTGCATCAAGACCAGGCCAGTGCACCTGAGCAGATGGCGATGTGCCAAAGGGCCAGAAGGTAGAGTTCTACCTGGGGAAAACCAAGGCCTGGAAAGGCAAATCTTCCTCATGTCTTACTTCATGTAATAAAGGTATATATTGTTCATAAAAATTGGCATTATATACATAGTATCTTTTCTTATCCTAATGGAATGAAACTAGAAATCAATAGCAGAAGGAAAATGAAAAATTCAAGAATACTATATATTTATACTGTATAAATTAAACAACACAATGGATCAAAGAAGAAATAACAAGGAAAATTAGGAAATATGTTTATTTTTATAGTTTTAAAAAATTTTTTCTTACACATGTGTATATTAGGTTTCCACTTTCGCCTTCACAGAATTAAAAAGGCTAAATTTAATGACAATAACAATGTTTAACATAAGGACTGAGAACAAAAACCTCATAAAGAGCGAATGAAGATAATACATTCAGAAAAGAAATCAGACGATTGCTGCAATGAAATATTAAGCAATAAGAATAGTAATAATGCAAAAAAAGTAACATTCACATCGTCAGATAGAAGTATGTCTATTATAGAATATTTTGACCAGTTAACTTATTTTTTTTCCAAAGTCTCAAAAAAATAGATAACTAATATTTATAAATAAAAGTAAAAGATAATTTCAAAAAAAACAGATCATGCCAAATCTTAGAGACAATAGAAAAATACTTCAAAATCATTCTATTTAATCTGGATACACCTGATATTAAAATTAGAGAAAATATATTATTATAAAGGGGAAATTACAAACACATTTCACTTATAAATGAGGATGCAATATGATAAACAACATATTAACATGTTGAATTAAAAATTAATATTTAAATAATATGCTTTGGTCAAAATTAAATACAATTTATATGAGAATTAGTCACTCTTTTTTTTTTCCTTGCCCACAGCTCCTCCCTCCTTCTCTGTCTGGTCTCCCCTTCCCCCATGCCCCACTGTGTCATTAATTGTCATTCATTGTCTTCATATGAAAGTTGAATACATAGGATTCTTACTTCTCCATTCCTGTGATGCTTCACTAAGAATAATGTGTTCCACTTCTATTCAGGTTAATACAAATGCTGTAAAATCTCCATTATTTTTGATGGCTGAATAATATTCTGTGGTATACATATACCACAGCTTACCAATCCATTCCTGGGTTGAAGGACATTTAGGCTGTTTCCACATTTTAGCAATTGTAAATTGGGCTGCAATAAACAGCCTAGTACAAGTGTCTTTATAATAAAATTTTTTTTTCCTTCTGGATAGATGCCCAGTAATGGGATTGCAGGATCAAATGAGAGGTCTAGGTTGAGTTCTTTAAGGTTTCTCCATACTTCCTTCCAAAAAGGTTATATTAGTTTGCAGTCATACCAGCAGTGCAAAAGTGTTCTTTCTCTCCACATCTGCACCAGCTTCTGCAGTTTTGAGATTTTGTGATATAGGCCATTCTCGCTGGGATTAGATGATATCTCAAGGTGGTTTTAATTTGCATTTCTCTAATAATTAGGGATGATGAGCATTTTTTCATATGCTTAGTAGCCATTCGTCTATCGTCTTTAGAAAAGATTCTATTCATCTCTCTTTCCCATTGATGTACGGGATTGTTGGTTTTTTTCTTGTAGATTAATTGAGGTTCTGCATAGATAGGGGGTTATTAGACTTTTCTCTGATTCAAAATATGCAAAAATCCTTTCCCATTGAGTAGGTTGTCTGTTTGCTTTGGTTGTTGTCTCCTTGGCTGTACAGAAACTTTTCAGTTTCATTACATCCCATTTGTTTATTATTGCTGTTGTTGCCGTTGCCATGGCAGCCTTCCACATAAAGTCTTTCCCCAGGCCAATATCTTCCAGTGTTTTTCCTACTCTTTCTTTGAGGATTTTTATCATTTCATGCCTTAAATTTAAGTCCTTTATCCATCTTGAATCAATTTTTGTGAGTGGAGAAAAGTGGAGGTCCAATTTCGGTCTTTTACATGTGGATATCCATTTCTCCCAGCAGCATTTATTAAATTGGGACTCTTTTCCCCAGAAGATGCTCTTGTTTGGTTTATTGAAGATTGGGTGGCTGTAAGTTGTTGGTTTCATTTCCAGGTTTTCTATTCGATCCCAAATATCTATGTCTCTATTTTTGTGCCAGTACCGTGCTGTCTTGACCACTATGGCCTGTAATACAGCCTAAAATCTGGTATGGTGATACCCCTGGCTTTGTTTTTGTTACTAAGAACTGCCTTAGCTATACGAGTTTTTTCCTGGTTCCATATAAAATGCAGAATCATTTTTTCCAAGTCTTGAAAGTAGGATGTTGGTATTTTCATAGGGATGGCATTGAATCGGTAAATTACTATGAGAAGTATAGCCATTTTAACAATGTTGATTGGAAAACATGTTGAGGTAAATGAAAATTAAGATGCAACATACCTAAAATTATGAGATGCAGTGAAAGCAGTATTAAGAGGGAAATTTATAGCTATAAATGCTTACATTAAGAAGAAAGATCTCAAATCAACAACTTCACTTCCTTGACTAGGAAAAGAACAAACTAAAACCAATCTATCAGAAGGAAGGAAATAATGAAGACAACAGCAGAGATAAATAAAATAGAGACTAGAAAAACAATAAAGAAAATCAGAAAACCACAGGTTGGTTCTTTGAAAAAATCAACCAAAATTGATAAATATTTAATTAGATTAACTGAGACCAATAAGAGAACACAAATAACTAAAGTCAAATGATAGTGGGGACATTTCTACTGATTTCACAGAAATAAAAAGGATTACAGATGGTCCCCAGCTCATGATGTGTTTGACTTAAGATTTTTTGACTTTACAATCATGCTAAAGTGATGTGCATTCAACAGAAACTACACTTTGAATACCCATGCCATCATTCTGTCTTTCACTTTCATTATAGTATTCAATAAATTACATGAGATATTCTGTCCTTTATTATAAAATAGGCTTTGTGTTAGACAATTTTGTCCAACTGTAGGCTGATGTAAGTATTTTTGGCACATTTAAGGTAGGCTAGGCTAAACTATGATTTTTTGGTAGATTAAGTGTATCAAATATGTTTTCAACTTAAGATATTTTCAATTTACAATGGGTTTATTAGGATGCAACCCCATCTGTATAAAAGGGCACTAGGAATGGTCATGTATTAACACATTATATAACTGAGTTGTAATGGACAAATTCTGAGAAACATACAACTTACCAAGACTAAATCATGAAGAAACAGAAAATCTCAATAGGCCTGTAATTCAAAAGGAGATTGAATCAGTAATTACAAACCTCTCAACAAAGAAAGAATAAAGGACCAGATAGAATTGTTTATTAATTCTACTAAAAACTTGACGAGTATACCAGTCTTTCTTTGCACCATATTTATGTTGAACAATGCTGATCAGAAATGTGTTAATACTTGCATGACAAGTTGAGCACAAGAATGTCTGTAGAAGAGTTACTGATATAGCCAAAAACTGGAAACAAATGCCCATGATGGTGGGATGGATAAGAAGAGTGTGATATGAAATGTTATTTAGCAACAACAATAAGTAAACTACAACTACGTGCAATAAGTAGATGACTCTTACAAGGTTCAGAAGTCATTTCAGTTAATTTTTATGAAGTTTAAAAATGCAGAGAAATAAGCTACAATAAGTCGGAATATTAGTTAACTTTGAGGAAAATGGTGAGTACAGGGATGAAGTGAGGCTTTGGGAATTGGCAATGCCCAGTTGGCAAAAGGGTGATAGTTTACATGGGTGTTTGTGATAATTCATTGAACTTTACATTTATGTACATTATGTCTACTTTTCTGTATTTATG